ATGTTGATCTCATCTCCCAACTATGTTGATCTCTCATCTCCCAACTATGTTTGATCTCATCTCCCAACTATGTTGATCCCTCTCATCTCCCAACTATGTTGATCTATCTCATCTCCCAACTATGTTGATCTCTCATCTCCCAACTATGTTGATCCCTCATCTCCCAACTATGTTGATCTCTCATCTCCCAACTATGTTGATCTCTCATCTCCCAACTATGTTGATCTCTCATCTCCCAACTATGTTGATCTCTCATCTCCCAACTATGTTGATCTCTCATCTCCCAACTATGTTGATCCTCATCTCATCTCCTCAACTATGTTGATCTCTCATCTCCCAACTATGTTGATGATCCTATCATGGGGATGGATTTATCCCCTCAACTCCCAACTAGAAATGTTCCTGATCAGGAAATTGTTATCATCATCTATATAATCCCTATGTTGATCCCTCATCTCCCAACTATGTCGACCTACTCTACGCCCCATAATGTTGTTCCATCCAACTCCCAACAAATTCTATCCCTCCTTCTCCTCATGTTGTTGATATATATGTTGATCCCAACAATGTTAATCTAAACTACGCCCCATAATGTTGAACTCACCAACACTCCGCAATGTTGATCTCTCCTACCCCAGCAATGTTAAACCCTCTTGCTCCCAACAATGTTGATCCCCTCTAATGTTCCCATAACGAAGATGTGCGTGGCCCTACAACGTAAACCCCTCCACCTTCTATGTTCTTAGTTCGGATCTATCCAACTTCCCTTTCGTGCACGCAAATTCCTTCATATTCTTACATCTCTCAACGAGTAAACGCTACGCATAAAGTTGGGGATAGTCGTCAATAACTGACGATTCCCAGAATTGAGAGATAGTTTTGATAAAGGTTAATAGAAAAATCATAAGTCATAAAAAAATGGGGACATATTACAACCGGTAGTGAAGTATAACAGGAGTTATCTTACCTTCATGTAAACTACTTTAATTTCATTGGTCAATGATGGTTTAACAAGTTTCGGTGTCACCCTCCCAACTGGAAAAAATATCTCCCGCTGTCACGGTAACCGTCAAGCACTCCGGGGCGGTGGGGTAGCCTAGTGGTTAAAGCGTTGGCTCGTCACGCCGAAGGCCCGGGTTCGATTCCCCACATTGGCACAATGTGTTAAGCCCATTTCTGGTGTCCCCCGCCGTGATATTGCTGGAATATTGCTAAAAGCGGCGTAAAACTAAACTCAGGCAGTCAGTCAGTCAGTCAAGCACTCCGCCGAGTAAGCTGGTTTCCGGCTCCCTTGCGCGCCCTAACGTTCGCCAAAGCTAGGAGCCGGTATAGGCTGCCATTTAAACGCTCTGGGTTTCGTTGTTCAAAACAACCTTAGCTAAGGTCAACCTTAAACACTAAGGTTAGAGTTACGATCACCTTAAGAAAAAGTTACGCCCGTTGCACAAAACAACCTTAGGGCAACCTTAACTCGGACTCTAACCTTAGCCGTAACCTTAACTAAGGCTGAACTCTTCAGCGCTGGAGTTACGGAAGCGTCCCTAGTTACCACGTGAATTACCTCCCCTGCTCGCACCTGCAGACGACAACAACGTCAATGTCCCAGTGGAAGCGTAAACGGCACTCAAACTTTTCTCCTTCCACAGTCACCAACACGGCCAAAATACGGGAATGGGAGGAAATCGCAACCAAGTAAGTGTTACTCCCGGGTTGTATCAACATCCACACAACTGTAAACGGTAAAATAAAATAAAGCAATTTTGAATAAATAGAATATATTCAGAAACATGTCAAACATAGTGCATTGTAATTGCAAGTATATGTTAGTATAATTTTATGGCAATACCAACACTATAAATTTGTACTCATATTAAATGTATTATAATTCATCTCTATAGAAACTAAATATTAATTATATTTTTTGTCAGCAACTGAAATCCATTCTAGGACTAAGGTTACACACAAGTCAAGAAAATCTGGTAGGTAGGACATGTTCAAGTAAGAAAAGTTACTAGATTTAGATTAGGTCTGGGACGGGTGGGTACTGAGTAGGACCCAGGTGAAGAATGTATTGTTTTACCACAACAATGTACCCAGGTAGTAAATTTAGACCCCTCCCAGCCTTAATTCAGAGTGTAGTATAAATACCAAACAAGAATTTGTAACTTAATAGTTTCATTGCATACAACAATAAAAAAAATCGCAATTATGAAATTATTACCTTTTCTACAGAAAGGGAAGCTCAGCTCAGCTCTCCCGTAATACAGTTTCTGCATGAATTGTAATCAAATTTATTATCTACATTTTACATTTTAGGCAATAACAATTACTAAACCACATAATATTTTCTGCAATTTTTTAAATTTATACTTGCACCTTAAATAAAACAATTAAAAAAACTAATCAATTCCTTCAAGTTTTGAAAGACATATCTGTTGTTGAAAGATTCCCAGCAAGAAGAAATAACAGCTTTGATAAATTTATAAATAAATGGTGGCCTTTCATCCCAATATTCAATCTTTGCTATATTTAAAAAAATGATATTGATGAGTTTTTAACTCACACCTGCTGTACATGTATTACTTTTTTACTAGCTTATCTGAATTATGCGTGGGAACAAAAAAACCTCAAACTATTTTATGCTTTTTATGCTTCATAACTTCTTCTTGTTGACTTTGTTTCAAACTTGTATCAAGATAATGTTTTACCGTTATTAAATTTAATGTTGTGTGATATACAATAGAGTTGTTTTTACTTACATTTCATGAAAATCTTTCGTTGACAAGGTTCTGCCTAGCAGTGTTGACATCTACACACTGCCTGGGCGCAGTTGGGGTGCTGGTCTCCGCCTCTGCCTCTTCCAGTACATCTCCCGGTGGTACCTGCACTCCCTTGGTGATGCAGTAATTATGGAGCTTAAAGTATGCCATAATTACCACAGAGCACCTGTCTGGGCTGAACCACACACATCCAGAGGACAATATTCTGGCAACAGGGGTTTAAAATAATCCTGATCATAATTTAGTTAGCAAGTACTGATTTAAATTCTGATTACATTGCAATCAGGTCAAACTTACCTAAACCTAGCCCTTAAAACACCAAACGCACGTTCAATGGTGTTTCTTAAAAGCTTGTTCTAGTGTGGGCGGAGTTGTACCTCTCTTGGGGGCGTGTCTGCGGCTCAGTGAAGGGTATTAGAAGCCATGGTCGACATGCATATCCGAAAAACGCATTACTTGATTGTTATACCAACATATCAATGATGTCATGATTGATAGTTACAAAACTTCATTGTGTACTCTCTGTATGTATATGACAGTTAAAGTGACACTTTGTTTTGAGACATACCAATTACCACATGTGTTGAATTAAATTCAAAACACCTCTTCCAGTTTTCATATATATGTATATATGCAAGCTGGAAGAGGTGTTTTGGATTTAAATCAACACATATATATATACTCTCCCAAAAAAGAAACGCACCATGAAAATAGCAATTTCATGTAGCAATGAATTAAAACATGATTCATTTTACAAAAGGTTTTGCTCTGTTTATGAGTCCTATAGTGTTTATGTTTTGAAACATCACAACAAAACGCACCACCCGTAAAATACCCGTATTTAACAGCATGATTTTCAATTTCGGCGTGTAGTGTCACAGAATACACAATTCACATGCAATGCACGTGAAAGTTGGGGATCAGATAGTCCCAATGATGGGTATAAAAGGTTGATCGCTGTCTGTCGATTATTCACTGTATTTGGAATATTGTTGACGAACGCAAAATGCGACCAGTACCGCTCGACAAATACCCGGATTGAGGAGGCTTTCTGCACAGACCGTCAGGAACAGGTTGAGAGAGGCTGGTTTACGTGTCAGAAGACCTTATTTTGGCCCTGTGCTTCGACAACAACATCGTCGACATCGAGTTCAATGGTGCACCAACGTTCAGGCCTGGAACCTACCGAATTGGAGTAGAATCTGGTTCAGTGATGAATCACGATTTCTACTAAAACGACGCGATGGAAGAATGCGGGGGTACAGACGTCGACGTTTACGTTTCGCCGACGCTTGCGTTCCCCAGGTGGACAGATTCGGCCGGGGAAGTGTTATGATGTGGGGGATAATCACCTGCCGTAGGAGAAGTGATTTGGTGATGATCCAGGGCAACCTGACAACTCAACGGTACTGTGACGAAATCCTACGCCCACACCTCCTTCCAATCATTGATCGCCAGAGGGAGTTGTTTCAACAGGACAATGCCAGGCCCCACACAGCACGTCACACTAGAGACTTCCTCCAGAACCACAACACCAATGTGCTCCCCTGGCCCTCAAGATCACCGGACTTAAACCCGATCGAACATCTGTGGGATGCCCTGGACAGACGGGTGCGACGCCGTAACCCTCAGCCCCAGACACTTCAGCAACTTGCACAGGCACTACAGGCAGAGTGGGCTGCGATTGGGCAACACGAGATTCTGAGACTTTTTCGTTCGATGCCGAGGCGATGCCGTGCAGTTCTGGATGCCCACGGTGGTCACACGAGGTATTGACTTCAGCGCCACCACACGTCTCCATGTGACACTAAAACTGACTTTCTTCGAGTTGGTGCCAAAGACGGATAAGTCTGCATTCCCAGTGTGCAATTTCGCTATATTTCATTGACTCATAAAGCCTACAAGATGTTTCCAAATAAACATAAAATTACAGTTGAAATTCCTATATGCGTTTCTTTTTTGGGAGAGTATATATACATACGCAATTACCAAATATATGAAAATATTGATACATTCGAAAACCGACTCATAGTCATATACATGTGCGGAAGTGAAATGAAATGTCCACTTTTCAATCATAGATCCTTACTTATACTAATATAATGTCATTATGCTGGACCAGCTAGCGAGCACTAAAATGATATTAGTCAGTAATATATGACCTCCAAGAAATGTGAGCTAGAGTGTCACAATAAGGGGGTTAAAACCTCCACAACCTACCCAGAATCACCAAGGAGCCACCCATCCGGTGCGTGCTGTTCCATCTTAGTGGCAATGCTGCAGTTGCTCCAAATGAGCGAGTCGTGGGTCGACCCCGGCCACTTGACTACCACATTTGTGAAGCTGTAGACAAGAAAACAAGGGATTATAAATAATCATTGAAAAGGATTAAAAATATTATAGTCTTCCTGTAGCAGAACTAAAAATGCTGGTTTTACTTACATCTTGATCTCGTATGTTCATTTACATGTATAGGTGTCTAGGCAGGTGCTTGTGACCCTTCGCTATTTAGGTGTGTAATATTCAATAAATATTTGCCATTACGTTTGTAGTTCTAATCTGAGATAAGTTTTTGAATAAGTCAACATGCTTTTTAACATAAAATAGCATACCGGAAATATGAGAGAATAAACATGATAACGTGTCTTTTAAATCAGTGAAATTGATAGACTATTTTTAACTGGACAGGGAACTAGCATCAATATGTCAGGTCAAGGTCGTTGCTAATGTAAACAAACCCGTGACGCATCGGGATATGTTTACCTTTCGAGCTTATTAGAATCGGAAAATACTGAAATCATTATGCTTTATCAGTTTTTGCTTATTAAAAAAGTGAAGAAAATATCTTACCGAAGAGAGCTGTCACAAATAGCCTGAACATTCACGGCGTGGTAGCCCTTCCGGCAAACAAACGCTGCTTCCTCGGCGATAGGGGGTCTTATTATTGGGATCAAAGTCCCGTCAACTGCTCCAAGAACTTTGGGGAACCCGGATAGTTTGTAGAAGCCCTCTTTAACTGCTATCTGTTCTTGTGGTCCCCATGGAAAATGAATGTTATTTAGCACCGTGCAAAAAGCACTGGCTGTTCTGTGCAGGGACCTCGAAACGGTTGACTTGTCAAGGCCGTGGAGGTCCCTGATCTCGGACAGGAAGCCACCTTTGCCGAGATAGCGTAAAGTCAAGAGCACCTGTGACTCGACAGAAATGGCGTGTGAACGCTGTGTACTCTTTCCGATTATTGGCTCAACTTTTTCTACAAGAGCTATAATAGCTTCACGTGACAAACGGTAGCGAGAAAAAAGTTCGAAATCATTCAGCGTGTACAGTTGACTCGTCCTGTCCCTGTAGACTCTCTGCTTCCTCAAACTCCTCGCAATCTCCTTAGTTTGGTTAAGGTTGTTTCGTGCAACGGGAGGCTAACCTTAGTAAAGGTCTAAGGGTGTAATCTTAGAGATAAGGTTGACCTTAAGAGATAAGGTTGTTTTGAACAACGGAGCCCTGCTCGTTTATTTGACGTCACATCCGTATTGGTCAAGCTGGACTCCGTCTGTATATTGAAGTCGCGCTGAAAGATCTGAGAACCAGTTAACCCCCTGCATACCGAGGTTTTTTTTCACATTTTCATGAGGTTTGAAAAAGTGAACGTTGTGCGAGAATTGCGTTCGCGTGGTGCTGGATCTACTTACGACTATGAAATTACACAGTAATGTAGGATATTCAATTTCCAATGCGATGGTATAGATTCAAGTGCAAATACTTCGAGGGTTTGAAAAATAGAACTGCTAAATATTTTACGAATTTTTGTTATGCGTTAAAAAACAGTAAATGTCTCCGCTTTTTATCGTGTACCGATAAAAGCACTGTGCGACGATTTTTTTACATTTGACATCTTTATGGAAAGTGTGAGCGAATAAAATACTGCCTGATATCTGAACGACATAAGTATATATGAAGTGAGTTTGTGTGCTTATGTATAACGTTATACGCTCAATCTTAAAAATGACTCGCAATAAATGTCGAAAATGGATTTTCCTCTGTGACGTCAAACCACGACAGAGAGGTCATACACGTATAAAGATAAGGGGGCATCGTCTCTTTGGCCTGTACCGGCTCGTATATTGCGATATGCGAGACGGGGCCCAGCTTATCCGCCGAGAAGCTGAAGCGCTAACAATCGTATGACGCCATAATATGACGCATGCCGTGCCCGGAGTTCGAAAACCGTTCGATCAGATGTTTTTGAGTTCACTTTGTACAGATTTATTTTACCGACTTTCACTTCTACATTTAAGCTATTTTATACATTGAGTGGTTTGCACACTCAGCTTAAGCATAATTAACCATTTTTATGGCAGTTTTATGCTTGTCAGAATATGTTTCACTGATGTTAAAAATTCAGTCGGGAGGCAGACGCCATTTTGTTTGCATGTCATATAGTCGGTAGCGATCTTAAAAGGTCACATGTAACGTAAAACACAACTTTGCAGATTCTGATAACTTTCGGTATGGACTTACCGAAACAAATCGTTAAAAATGCAAATTGAACTTATAAAGTTGAAAAATAACGCGATGAAAGAAACCACGCGAAATCGGAGTTAAAACGATTCACTAATTTTCCCCCGACTTTTCGGGGGAAAACTGGTTTCAACAGCTGGGCTGCGCTCATAGCCCGTGCGCAGTGAAATAAGTTTGCGCAGCTTGGAAGCGGGTTGTCCGGTAAATACTCGGTGAAGGCTTTGGTGTGAGCTATTTTTCTAATGTTTTGTTGATATCTCACAGGCGCGAGCTTTTTATATGTTATGACAGTAAATTAACTGTTTATATAATTTCATTTGTCTATTTCACCACACGTTCTTCTTACCGAGTCACTTTCTCAGTTCGATACTTAAAAGCAATGTCATTATTTAGCGTTGACAGAATTTCTAACTGTGATATAGATATGTCGTTGTCACAGACAAAACTCAATGTCTTGTTTTATTGACACCTGTGTGTCTGCCTGCCTCTCTGCTAATGACAATATTCAATACACAGCTGCTATCACTGACCACATGCAATTTGAACTTAACACCAATCAGGCTATACACCATAAACAAAATGCATTGATTTATGGCCCGAGTTCGGTCTCTGTCACATTATGTAATTACACAGACAGGCAGGTGTGATATTTGAACACATGACATGTTATGATGTCTGTTGATTGCAAAATGTTATACACAAAAAATGAACATGTATTTACAAAACCCAACATCTCTATATATACACACACAATGAGCCGTGAGGGCATCTGCAAAGGAACCAGCCGTTACACTTGAGTGCACACCCACCCGCTCTGACTGGGTTCGGTATCCCGGCTGCTTCGTTTCTTGGGAAGTAAACCCAAGTACACAATATTGCACTTTTGATTTGCGATTGTACGCTTATAATTTTGTTTATATGTTTTTTCATAACCAGCAATGTATATTATATGTCATGAATAAGTGATAATTGTGTTTTAATTATGTTTTATTTTTTGGTTGCATGTGACCTTTAACATAAAATAAAATGATATTTTGTACATTTAACATGGCGGTAAGATAAATACGTTGTATGATTCTTCCTCGGGTAATACCGGCTCGGGTGACACTGCTACAAAAAGGCGTACATCAGACCGTATTACCCTCGAGAGAAGCATACAACTTATAATGTTACGACGATCTTGAAGTACGACAGGGGTAAGATTAGGAAGCCTGTGGTTTTTTAGATCAGTAGTGCGTAACACCCCTATAATCTGTCAAACATCCATTCGCTGGACGAGCTTACACATGTGGGTTTGAGTCTCCCGTTGGATTTGACAATAAACGTGACAAATATATCGAAGTTGACTGACACGACCACTCCTATCAAGGAAGTTCAATGTGAATCGCGACAGACCCGAAATCATGGCACGTGACCAGCCACTGTTATCCCAACTTCAAGGTTGTGTACAGTATTGGCATCTGTTGGCAATAGGACCATTTGTAAGTGGCGGCACAGCTGGGAGACATGTGGACAAGTTCTGATCCCCTGACCCGTAACTCCGGGGTCCTGGTAACAGTTTACAGCAAGTTGAGTCGCCGTTTGAGCTCCATTTGGTTTCAGTTCAATCAATCCTGTGCTCTTGTGGTTGATCATGGACGTCCTGAACGGGGTCGATCGTCCACATATGGGGCTTGCTGATACCTGTTACCATACTGAGACCAGATAATGTTACACCGAAGCTTCTGACAAGTTCCATTGTACCAATAATCCGTTAAAGGCGTTGCAGACACCGAAGTACCAGTCCATGGACACAGAGTGAATGGAATCGAGGAAATCGCTCCTGTATGGTGAGCAGAATCAATAAGATTGACAGAAATAATGGTTCACATAGATTAATCGATTTTTTTCAAAAGTGTCAAAATCAACATCGACACACTACGAACATATGTGGCCATAGTACGTGCAGAAGGTGCAAACTGTACCACGTGTGTTTGTGTTACGGTTTACAGACACAAGCGGTCTTGCCTTTGATGTTTACTTTCAACACTGACGGTTATTCTAACATGTGCCATTAACATTTATATTTGTAGTTCATGATCCGCTACTTTTTTCAGAGAGTATATTTGATGAATTTGCGGCACGCAAAGTACTGACGCATATAGAAATCAATAAAAGTTATTGGTTTTCTAGGCTATATGGACAGCACGTGGGCCACGTTGGATAAACAAGGTTTCTTGCTGTTCTAATAACTCTACCATTTCACAGAAATACGTCAGTTATGTGTTCTCTTTTTGTCTTCACATTCAGATAAGATGCTATCTTCGTCTTGCATTATCGTTTTTGTGATGGAGGTTGGATGGTCTTGCCGCTCGCTACGAAGAAGGCCCGGGTTTTATTTCTCTCATAATGTCTAGTCGACATATTGCACATAGTGGTGTATTAAAACAAATCACTCGCCTATACTCAAGGGTGGCCTCCAATGGAATATTAGTCCAGATTTTTAGGTTAGATTTACGTTTCATTCTGCCATTAACAAAATAATGTGATCTCAGTATCAACCAGTGATTAGTAATGGGTATTGGCCTGACTTTCGTACTGGAATTCCTCGCAAAAATGAACAGATTCATTACGTGCTGAAATCTGATTGCATTCTTTTTATCCGGATTTGTTTGTTATAAACCTGAATAAGAATTGATCAAAACATCGGCCTTTCCTCGTACATTTTGGACAACTTTGTAGTTGTCTGCCATTTTGTTGAGTGTTGCTATGGCAACAAAGCATGATATATAGATGCATACAGGAAGCTGGTCGCGATCACATGAATCAATATGCCAACTTTCGAATGTCACTCATATGTTATCCCTGGGGACATATTGTGATGCACCCTTACAACATTGTGATGAGGCGACATCGATACGATACTCCGATATTGCCATAGGCTTTGTGTAAATCCCATGCAATCTTTTGTTATGTCGACCTTCGTTTCTAA